CCTGCTGATATGATCAAAGAAACTAATTAAAGTATTAGAGCTTCTCTACAATGCACACTAGCAGATGAAGCCATAAGAATTATTAAATATTTGTACCATGTAAAAATGATACGCAAAGATCCATAAGATACAGAAGAAACAGTGTGCTCCTCAATGTTGTCTCTCCTATAGCAGCAACACTTGTGCAATAAATAAAAAGCACTTAGTGATGATTAGTTCAGAGCCAATAAAGTTCAGAGGAGAAAAAGCATCTAAATTCAGGTTTGCAAAGTCACAGACATTAAATTCTGAAGTTGAGTAGCTTAATGAGCAGAAGTTTAGATGTGCAGATGAGCTTCAGTGTTTCACTGAATCAAGGCCTGAATGCACAAAGTACGTGTGAGAAAAGTTCTTGGCTCTGAATTTCAATTCATTGTTAGTGTTATATGAGGTTTTGGACTACTGACGTGTCAGGCTTATGTACACCAAAGCATTGTTTGTGGTTCTTGAGAGAGCCCTACTACAATCTGGCATGCACTGCACGAAAATATTCAGCTTGGCTTCCAAATTGTGTAACTAGCTTTATTATAGGGAGAAAGATAATTCAAACAGCAACAATGCTCCTAGATGGTCAAAAAATGTTATTCCAACTGGATAAATAGCGGGCCAAATAAATACTGCACAGGTACAAGTTGGTGAAATATCCATAATCTCAATGGAGTTGTGCCAGCTTACTATGACAGCAATTGGGGCCTGTAATTTTGCAGGCTTGTCATAACTTTTAACATAATGCACTGACAGAGGTTCTCAGGTCTTGAGTGATCAGCCTAAGGCCAGGTGGCAACGCAGCTCAACACATTCTAGCTCTTCTCTTTACATGAGGAATACCAGGGCATTTTGTATGCCTCACTGCAAACCAGCTCCTAATAACCATCACATACAGAAGGACTTCAGGGGCCTGATGTGATTTTTCACTTCATCTAGGTGCAGAAATCTGTAGGAGTAAGGAGTGAAACTGTGGTTTTAAGTAAGCTCCCTGGGATTTTCCCATGAGTTTTGGTTCGTTGTAGCCAGGATTTCTTTCTTTCTTACTATGTACCTGCTTATCTTTCAATCTCCATACACATACACACAAAGATGTATTAATCTACATATAAATTAATACATTCACATTTATACACACATGAAGATACATGACATGTACATGTCAAATGCGTGCACATGAGCATGCACAAATTCCTCCCATGGCAGACACCTCAGATAGGGGCTAGGTTCTTCTGAACAAGGTGGGCAGAGAGGACGGGATTAAATGATGGGAAGGTTCTCATGTATGTCATTTGAGGGACATTTGGCACTTCATACATAATCTCATAGTGAAATTTACCTGTATGGAATGGATCTACAGGGCATTTGATTATGACTCAGACTCCTACTAATTTGGAGAACTTTAGACATCCACGTCAGGGCATTTGATTATGACTCAGACTCCTACTTCCTGCTGCTTTCTGCATAGGACTAAACTCACCCCAGTTTAATAACTCCAGTTTGTAAGCTGTATTTTAAAAGCTTTGTTTTCTAAAAAAATTACATTTAAAATGCTCATCTTTATTACATAAGAAATACAAATGATCTTATTAGTCTCAAAAAAACACTAGGGTACTTGGAAATAATGGAATCATATGCTCTCTAAGAGTTTCCTTTGACATCCAAAGACAAATTTAAATAGGCCTTTTTCCTTGTGCTAGTATGTATAGGAGCAAGAGGTGTCATATTTAGAAACTAAATGCAGGAGCTGAGGTAGGAGATATTTACAGCTTGGTAACTGAGATACTTACTTTAAATGCCAAATAAGCAATTGGCTGAAACTCTAGAATGAAGGCAATCGGCTGTCATAAATATTTGTGAAGTTCATTTTGTTGTTAAGATGATATGGGGCACTTAGTCCCAGCAAAATTGTGAAAACCTACTCTTACAGGCATAACCTTAAAAAAAAAGGAAAATTGTGTACAAAGAAAACTCCAAACAACACAGAAGAAATCAAGGGGGGCAACCAAGAGGAAACTGCTATGAGTCAGATACAGTGCTTGGGTCTTACATTGCTCTCATGTTGTTCTCTGGAAGAAGTGGAATTTCCAGGACTTTGGTGTTGGAAAGTATTGTTTCATGGCTGGTGGTAGAGACAGTCTTCCCAGTGATCCGATGGACCTGGTAGAAAGCATGGGGTCGCAGCAGGCGGTCGTCTGCAGTCCCAATGAACAGCTGTAGCGTGAGCGGCTCGCTTTCTAAGTAACCATGGAGCTGGCAAGAGAACAGAAAACGCCCACTGAGCACCATGCACGTAAACTGCTAGGCATCAATTAATTTTTTATAAGCAGGAGAGACTAATTCAAGGAGAGAAATTTGTGACAGGTGCTATGTGTTAAGTTCCCCCCTTCCATTTTTTCCTGTAACGTAATATTGGTACAATAAAAAGGTGCACTCAGAAAATGCCTCATTATCTTAAAGGTCCTGAGGCACTTTAGATGGGTTGGGTTTTTGAGCACTCTGTGTCTGCAGAAAACTTTGCATAAATTCTGCCATGGTGCTCTGCAAAAAACCCACAATGAAGTCAATGTTCCTCCCCAGTTCTGCAGGTGGCAAAACTGATGGAGTTTACAAGTGGAAAGGACACAGGTCATCCACCCCTGTGCTTCCTTGGTCAACCCCTGGTGCAGCAGCAGCCTCCTGCTCGTCACACATCCCCTCATTAACTGATTTTTATGCTGGTAAATACCTCCCGGGACAGTGTGGAGACAGATCACATATACATGAGTAGTAGCTCACCATGTGTGTCAAATTCTTGTTATAATCGCACAAAAATCTCATTGAAGCTACTGGGCCTGACTTGAACTTCATCCATGTTACAGTGACCGCTCTGATGACAACAAGAGTTATTTCTGCCACAGGCTGTGGACCGAGCAGGAGCAGAGTCTGACCTCATCATCACCACCTCCTGAAGAAGCTGATCTGGGTTCACACTGGTGCAAAGGAGACTGCAGCTGTCCGCAGCAGCTCCAACCTCTACTTAACACTGATGCCTGATGCTGGGAGTTGAAACTCACAAAAACAGTTATCTTGCAGTAGTTAGCTGCAAAGCCTTGTCCATCCCAAAGGAAAGGAGGACGTAGCAACTGTAGGAGAGAGAAGCGCAGGCAAGGTGGGCTGTCCCAGATGTAAACCTGCTTGCTTGGTTGTAGGTTTAATTTCCTCTGCAAATGCTTCAGGTAGGTTTGGGCCCAAGCTATGCAACCATCACTGCACCATCATTAAATCTGATAGATCAAAATTAGACCACTGATAATTTGGTGAGGAGCAATATTTTAATTTACGTGCATGCAAGTCCAAAGCTAAAAAAAAAGCTGAAAGAAAGTGGTGAAATCTGTATCAAAATTTGTTGATACTTCTGCTTTTCTTGCTTTGACTCTCCTTAAACCTTAAAACATCATTTGTGGCTTCATAATAACTTAAAATTTGTCTCTCCAGAGTATTTTACCATCTGACAGTGGTAATGCTATTAAGAACAAAGATCTCAAGTTACTTTTGCTCCTTGAGCCACGCAAAATTCTGTTGAGTGAGGTACAAAGCCTTCTCAATGCTATCAAACATACTGATGGCAACAGGAATGCATAATGGCCATGTTTCAGGTGCCACAGTGACCAATGCATGAGGAAGGAAGGACTCTGTGCCCAGACACATCTTCTGTCACTAACCAGGTGTAGTGCAGATTTTTCACTCCACACTTTGGATCTAAGAGCCAAGATGATAACAGAAGTGGTTTAATGTGCTTGATTTGGTGTAGCAATTTTACACTCTCACCTAAAGTGCATGGACGCTGAGAGGATGCAGGGACAGGAGGAGGAGGCTATTTCCAGCACTCCGGTATTTTATCAGCTGTACATGGCTGAGACACCACATCAAGGCAGCACAGTCAGGGGGCTGTGATAGGATATAGTGGGATTTCCCCATCAACGTTGTCAAACTGAAAACACATTAGGAGCAGTTTGAAAATATGCAGCATGGGAAAAATGATGGCGAGCAGAGATGCAGCCCAAGCTGCAGGTTGATGATGGCAGACATGCTTCTGGTACAGCCAGCAGCCACAGAGGGCATGCCATGATCCTGCTCATCACTGCTGCGTTCCCCCTGCCTCGCAGCCACTGCTGCTGCTGGTGTGAGCCTGCAGGGCTGGTGGAGTGACCTGGATTTGGCCCGGGCTGATCTCACCCCACCTCAGAGCTTCAGTAGCAAAGCTGAAGTGATGGAGGAGACACAAGGTATCAATGGGTATTTTTGCTCACAAGTGGCATGCAAGTTTGCTGGGAGAGAAAATAAGACAGTGTGACACACCAGCCGATTAAATTCCTACGCATCACCAGCGGTCACTTGTTCAACTCGTCATGGACCGTGCTTTTTATGGAGAGTATAAAATTAAAACAAACACATATTGAATTACAAGGCCGCTTAAAAGATAAAAATAGACTAGCGAGTAACTCAAACTTCAATCCAGCAAAGGCAGAACTGCACCAAGGTACCCCTATGTTTCACTGAATCTGGGCAAAGGGGTCAAAAACGTTGGTCTTGCATTGGCTTCTGCTATTTCAGGATTTATCTTTAAACGTGAACTCAGTTGCTGCTGTATCTTGTAACAAACTGATGAGCTGCAGCTTGTTCTTTACCTACAGATCTCCTACCAGGAAGCAACTGAACACCCAAAGTCTGCAGTTTTTGCACACCAACCCTCCCCTGAGAAGGATTCACATGCTGGAAAACAAATAATCAGAACTCAGATGCAAGTTTTGCATTGCTTTTAAGGCTTGTGATCTTTAAATTAAATTGTTTTTTAAAGGCCCTATCATACAGCCCTGCTGGGCTTTGCTTTGGAGCCATTACCCACAGTTGGTTATTCCATGAGAGCTATTTCTGCACCTGGTGACAAGTAGTGGCTACCACATTGAATGAACATGAGTTTTCAAGAGCTGTAATGTGTCAAAAACATCCAGAAAGACTAATGTAATCACTATATGGTTGATTTCGCTGCCCTCAAAACAGGCAAAACCCTAACTCTCAATTCACTGTAAATTTTATTTCATATTCTCTGATAGAAGGCAACTGATCTCTGATACGTATTTCCCTTTTGAGTTCTATCCATTGTATCACATTATTTACTCTTGTATTATATCACAAATATTGCGCATGCCAACAGAAGTGATAAAAGAAAACGATTCAAGGATTAACATTTAAAGGGGCACATACTGTGGATGACTAATTTTAGATGATGCAACCAGTGCACAATTTCTCTGACAGACAGCACTGAGCTCTGGGAGTCTTCTGCATGCTACAGGTGTCTGGAGAACATGCCAGAGTTTGGTTTCTCTCAGCTGGGCACAATGAGAACATTCTGTGTCTCTCTCAAAATATAGGAGGGGGTAATTACTGTCAAGTGGCTCAGCAGGATGATGAGAGGAGCAGTGGCAGTAAAAGGCAGAGCTGCAGGCTGTTAAGATTTGTCAACAGGTAGGGGGAATATAAAAAAAGACAGACGTAAAATGGGAAAGAAGGGGGACTGAATATTTTTACTGGTTAGGAAAGATCTCACACGCTCACATCCATGCATATTTTCCAAGCATGCTCTGGAATACTGTACTCGGTGGCATAACGACTCTGTTTCCTGGCGTGCGACATGGGATACATGCGTCAGACACACTATTTTTATCTTCTTCTCTGTGTAACACAGTCCGAAGTTCTCTTAATAACTCAGAGGCTGAACATGGGTGACAAAGACTGTCCTCAGCTATGGCATTCATAATAAAGGATGTGCCTTTCCTACCAAGCATGCTTTGCTTGGCAATACATAGACCCAATTGGAAAGAGTTTATTTTCCCCTGCTGTGAAAGAGTAAAAGGACCTAGCTGCAAATATGGATCAGGTACACAGTATTCTGGAACAAGCTTTTCTTTCCAAAAAAAGGTGAGGATACAGCAGTTAGTACAAAGTAAAAATGAAGGCAAAAGTGAAGTATGCAGGTAAGACCTCTGTGGTTGGTGTTTTTTGTTTTGAAATTAAAGTAGGTCATACACTCTTGTTCTGACTGACCACTGAATACTCTGCTTTTTTCTTTTTGAGCAACAATGTCAAAAATATTTGTACAGGTCTCAAATTATATTTGCATTTACATTGTCTGAAGCTGCTAAGATCAAAATCAGACTTAATTGTAGGCCTATTTTACAGTCCTCTAATTTTATTAAGAGTGATGCAGTCACTGGTAATTAACACCAGAACAGGACCCATCACAGTTAAGCTCTTTGTCACCTTAAAGAATCTTATGCAAGAGCAAGGAAAGGCTGCACCAGCCAGGTGACTGCTCCACCGCACCAAGCTTTCCCTGGGATTCCTACACCTCTCTGTCACTGCTTTCACAACACGTTCTCCCACCAGCATGTCTTGATTCTCAGCAGAAGATTGCTGCTCACCTTGGTGCAAGGTGCCAAGGCAAATTCCAGCCTTTCCCCAGGCAGACACACTCTGCACTGTGTACTGGGGCTGGATGTTCCCGCATGTCCAAGTGAGGTGATGCTGAATGTGCAGCACCTTCCTCTGGCAGCCAACAAATCACCAAATCATTGAATGGTTTGGATTGGAAGGGATCTTAAAGATCATCCAGTTCCAACCCCCCTGCATTGGCAGGGAAACCTCCCACTAGATCAGGTTCCTCACAGACCCATCCAACCTGGTCTGGAACACTTCCAGGTGCACTTCCAGGGGCATCCACAACTTCCCTGGGCAGCCTATTCATATTACTATTCCAGTGTCTCACCACCCTCAAAGTGTGAGGGAAACAGCACTGCTTCATCCATTGCAGCCAACAACCAACTGCAAGGTAGTATCTGATTCAGTTCTACAGTGATGATAGCTTGAGGCTGATCAGACGTGAGCATATGCAGCCTGTCTGGATTCCAACCATGTGCCTGACGCACATCTATGAAATCTGGAAATCAGAATTAAACAGACTTAAGCAGATGGAGCTGAGGTGCTTTTAACACAAGTGTCAGAAAAAAACAAAGCCTTCCCAGACTTTAATAAAGTTACCAAATATTAAAGAATTTTTGCAAATGTCACATCCAGTAACTCAAATGCTTTTTCATCACCAGTGGTTATTCCCAAGTCTGTAAGGAAAACTTCTATATTTGAGCCATGACACTTATTTTAAGAAACATGGCTGAAATATTCCGCATGCTCCTTTCCACGTGCTTTATGCTTTT